ATTCAAAGCTGGGTGACTATTTCATCTTAAATTGTTATTTTCTTTCTTTACAAAATGCTGCTTAAACACTAAAGGACATTTGCAAACGAGCTGCAGCTTTATAATAATAATCACACACACACACACACACACACACACACACACATAGTAATAATTAACTCTGAATTCTGGCTGGTCTTCTGTGTCCCTAAATGGCTCCATTCATGTAAATAATTCCTGCCTACAGGCCAGTCTGGGCACACACTGATAAGCAGCACTGCAATGTGATCCTGCACTCACCTACTTTAACGTGTTTTACAATTACACCTACCCACTGTTTTAAGCTAATGCTTTTTAATAAGATTTCGGGAAGAGAGGGGGGGTGGGTCTGCATGGACGTGTTTGTGTAAGATGAGCCTGAAAACCAGCTTGCCAAAACTAGGTAACTCATTAATCCTCTATATTGATTTTTACAAAAGTAATGACACCAACGTTAACTTTTATACCCAACATAAAACACAGAGCACAGTTACTAACTATATTTGATAAGCAAAAACAAAGAGCTTACTGATTCTGCAGATGAAAAACCTGGAAAGTTACACACCTTCTCCCACACTGAGGGCACTGTCTGTTCAATGTGTTTGAGTGACGACAATCACAGCGGGAATACACACTGACCTGATGGCATGGTTAGGAGGGGAGCAAGCAGACCTGGGGGGGACTGTGGGAAGAAGTCCTTCAGAGATGCAGATGTCTGAAACAACAGCAGCACATTGTCACACTTGTTTTCAAATGCTTCACCTTTGTGCTCTAAAGGAAAAAAAGGACAGAAAACTTGTCATTTTTGAAAGGGGTGATGTGTAATGGTGATACAGTAGTGATKGTGTAATGCAGCGTGTAATGGGAGACATTTAGCGCAGTGTGACAGCAGCCGCTAAAAACGGGTCAGAGTAAACACACTGTGGCACTGCCATCTACTGTTTAATGGAGGTGAAAAGGAATAAACTGTACTCACAAAGCTGGACAGCAGGTATATAATAGATCATACAAACACAGTAACACATCTGTTTTCTGGCTTTTGTCAGTAATGGCTGACATGCGAGGGACAGATAATTGCCTGCAGCCGTGCAGGATGTCTCACTGGATGATAAAACAACAGAGGTGGGAGCTGAGGGCTGGGAGTTTCAGAGAAAGTACACAACGGTACATCAGAGTAACAATTCTTCACTCGCTGCAGGTGATTCATGGAAAAAGAAGCTGCCTGTAAATGAATCATGTGGATTTGTGAGGTAGGGCTGTGAACTGTGAGTAGTGGGTGTCCAGCTGAAGATCAAGTGAATGATTTATCATCGGTAGCCTTTTTTAGTACTCATTTCTGACTACTTTAAAGAGGACATGTGCAAAATCCACCTTTTTTTGTCTGTTAAATGCATTTTGCATTTTGTTGTGCACCTGAAGGGAAGCAGAAAAGCTGAATTTAGTTTCTTCCGTGCTGCAAAGATATATTTATATTCTGTTCGGGTTGTATTTTTCAACCTGTTCTGTTTTTTTTTCTATTTTCTATAACATTTTCTAAACMATTACAGCAAATTATGTGCAACAGAACTGCCAAATAAGGTTTAGACCAACTAACCAATTCCATCGTCTTCATTTTCCTCTGGCTTTGGGTCAGACTCTGGCTCCAACATGTAAAGGCTGGATGGACAAGTCTTTCCTAGTTGACATTTAATTCATTTGTAAAATAATAAAAAAATAAATGTCTGAACAGCTATATAGTCATAAACTCCTCTATCAAGCCACAATGGACCACTCTGGAAGACGGAAGGGGGACGAGGTGTGAAGCGCCTCGTTTGGATTTAAAGGAACAGCACCAAAACGAGTTGATCTGAGGCACACCTCAGAGCAGGGGTGAAAGAGGGGCTTGTGGAGTTACAATAAAAAGGAATTCAGACCAAAGCATTGCAGTTCCACTTTATATAGACCCCAACTGAAGGATTTAAATGTGAAAAAGAAGGATTTAATATGTCTACCTTAAGACAAATAAAAAAATCTTTTTTTTATTTAAAAAAAGTGTTAATTTTTATTTTATTTCTCATCCTTTTCTGATTACTCAAATTTGTCTTATTTTTGTCAGGTTGAATAAATTATATTAGGCCTTAGTGACCTCTTAAAAATTTTAATTTAAAAATTACTTCTCAGCTACAATCAGTCTAACAGGGCGGTTGGTAAAAGCTGAAAAAAAAGTTAGCAAAAGCAACCCAATAATAAACGAATATTTCCACAAAGCTTTCATCAGGTTAAACTTTAAGACTTACGTCAGGCTGCAGGAGGAAATATTCTCTTAAGAAACACTTGGTAAAGGTTTGAGCAGCAGATCTAACAGACTGGTTACTTTCAGCTTGCTTAAGGATGGACCTGTCAAACGTACAAACACAGAAATATTAGAACATGTTGTGCTGAGTTTAAAAAGCACACCGACATAATCTTTGTGAAACACATCAACACTTACCGGAAGATGTCATTTACAATCAGGAATATTGAACAGTGTTGAGCACAAGCTTTAGGCTGTAACACAGAAATACACATCTGAGATTCTGTGCCACCTTTGCAGAAACAAAAACACAACAGTAACAATTTAGAGAGCACAGATAAGGTGAGAAAATAAATATAATAACAGTGTATAGCCACCAGGTGGCACTGTTGGACTACATTCCCTCTGGCTCTCTGTATCCAGCCTCACTTTCTCCCCATTAAACAGTCAGTTCACCGCTCTGTCAGTCCTCCCTAACAACACTCACGCTCTCATCTCCTTTTCGCATCTCCTCCTAATCCACACTCATCATGTGTTTTAGATTTAACACATTCTAAAACGCCCCAGCGCAAACATTTAACAGCTGTACTGTGCATATTACCGCGCTCCTAATTATCCACCACCACCCCTCTCGACATGCAACTCATACAAGGCCATGTGCTTCACTCTGCAAGGACCGCATGTCGTTTTAAACCTGACAGGCTTTTTACTCCTGCAGAGTGAATACAGTAGTGGAATGATTAGAACAGAGGATGGCCCTSTTTTTTGTTTATTTGAAATACTAGTTTAAAAAAAAAGCATTACATAAACTTCTTTGTGTTTGTAGCGAGAATTGTCATGAGAAAGAGTGACTGCATTAGTTCAACATTGGTGGAACATAAACTGCCTGGCTAAAAAAAGGTCACACTATTTGGTTGGACCACCTTTAGCTTTAATTACGGCACACATTCGCAGTGGCATTGTTTGGACAAGCTTCTGCAATGTCACAAGATTTATTTCCATCCAGTGTTGCTTTAATTTTTCACCAAGATCTTGCACTGATGATGGTAGCGTCTGACCGCTGCACAAAGCCTTCTCCAGCACATCCCAAAGATTCTCAGTAATTATATTACAGATCAATCCAAACGTACAGTGCCACCAAGTGCTCTTTTAGTGTAGTTACAGTGAAAATACAATCAATCAGGTGTGCCCTTTTCCCTATTAAATGCCCACTGGCAAAAGGTGAAGGCAGACGATAATTATTTTGCACATGCTCGAGTATAAAAGGTGTGGTAAAATATCTCATGAACCACTCTACAAATTAGGGGAACGTTTGGAACATAATTGTGAGGTTGTTGTTGTTTTTATTTTATTTTTTCAGAATTCTGATGTTCAAACCATGCCGATGTTTTCCTTTGATGATTTAATACAAGTCTTCCCAGCAACAAACATCAAACATTTTGTGTTCAACCACTTCTCCTGCTCTGATTAAAAATAAACACACACAAACAGCACAGAACAGGCCCACCCCATTGAACGCTGGTTCTATACCTTAGCACAGGGGTCTGCAACCTTTACAGTCAAAGGAGCCATTTGTGCTCCTTGTCTCACCAATAAAATGTGTCCGGAGCCGCAAAGCAAGCTACAACTGTGATTATAGACTGGTGGTCCATGGGCCTTTTCGAGTGCTGTTTGGGAACCTTTATGGTCAGTGGAGGTGACATTATAAAACTAAAAAATGTTATTGTTATCATATTATTTATAACTATACACATCAGAACAAATAAAAATACCATATTCATGTAAACATAAAAAATACAGTATGTAGTTTGTATGGAATTTCATAAAAACTAGAACAAATGAATTATTCAAACWTTTTTTTCTAATTCTTATTATGTATTTTTTAATATACTTTAAAGGTAATTCTGATGGATTTGAGAGAAAGATCATAGAAAGAAATTGGTCTATTAAGTAAACATCAGGCTAACATGAGCTAACACGTTTTACTTATTGTATTAGTAGAATTGATACAAATTTCTGTTGTGGGTATAAAAAACAAACAAAAAATATTCTGTTATGTTTGGTGATATTTTCAAAGAGCCACTGCAGAGAGACCAGAGAGCCACATGTGGCCCCAGAGCCACAGGTTGCAGATCCCTGCCTTAGCACATACAGTATTTATGAGTTCCCACAGTTTTACTTAACCTTCACAATCAAACTAAGGCAACAAAAAAACACTAACAAAATAATTTATACAAAAATATTGCAACAAAAAGCAATCCTAAAATAACTATGTAAAAAAGATAAAATAGCTCCTACAGTAATCATTGAATTTACGACTAAAAAACTTTTGAAGTCAGCTTGATGTAAGAGGTCTGCCTAGGATTTAAAGTTAAAAATGGATGCAATTTTTAGTTTCACAGCAGTTTCGAGTCATTCACAACACATACTCTAAACGTGACATTGTGCAACATTGCATGAAATTGTGCAAAACGTTATTAACATCTAACGTTTCCCAACATAAGAGCCTGAATGTCTGATCTGAAAGGCTGCAGGAGTTATGCACTCCTTCAAGGAAGGCCAGGCCTCACTTTGACACGTTTGTTTTCCTCAATCTAAACTGATTTTACATCCTTTTCTTTTTATGCCCAATAAAATGTACATCTGCAACTTGCATGCCAGTGTGCAAGTATGCATATGGACTGTTATGGCTCCTTCTGGTAAAAAAAAAAAAAACCTTAAAAAAATTCCAGCTGTATTTTTTTAGCATTCTCCTCAGTACCTTACCACTAACACTTCAAGGAGGGTCAATTACAGCACGCAACAAACATCCTGTTTTTTGGCAGTCAGGGCCAGGAAGTGAGTGTTTATTGGTATTGGCCTTTCTCTCTGAATTACAGGGGGGTGGGACAAGTCAAAATGAGAAATGCAAGCATATTTTTATGTTTTCCACTTTTGATTGTAGTTTAAACAAGTGAGGGAAGGAAGGATGAGGAGATTTGATTTCCCCTTTTTGTTTGTTTGTTTGTTTGTTTACACAAACATGTGAAATCAAAACTTATCCAGATACAGTATCATAAACAAAAATGTGATAAGTGTAAATGTGAGTATAATGTGGATAAAAAGGGTCTATAGAGACATCCTTGAAGTTAAAGTGCCTGTGACATGAAATTTTTTAATTAAATATAAAGGCATTATTGGAAAGATAACATTATTAGTATATTGAGAAAATAATTTCCTGCTGCCGAGATGAACAGTTGTTGAGATATTTGCATGTGAAGGAACAGGAAGTGATGTCAAAGGGGAATGCTTGCATGGAAAAAAGCATTGATATAATAGCTAACGACACAGACTGTAGAGAAGAATCTGATGCTTCTTTAGATTATTTGGAGTCACTARCAGAGAGAGCTGAATAAGAGTCAGAGTTCAAATAATAGTTTCAATTAGGGATGCACCGATACTGATACCAGTATCGGGTATCGGTCCGATACTATGTGCGTTAACTCGTACTCGTACTTGTAAAAGTGCTCCGATACTACAGGACCGATACCAGCTTCTTTTCGCTCAGTTTGTGCATAGACGCTCTAAGCCAGCAGGCGGCGGAATCGCGCAACAGACTTAATGCCAGCCGCATAAAAAAACAGAAGAAGAAGACGACGACCACGTTAGCCGAGCTGAACACACTTTAACAAGCAAGCAGTTTGTAGAGGAGGCGTTATGTCAGCGGTGTGGAGGTATTTTCAGGTGACAGTAGTAAGACGTCATCCCTGCTGTGACCGTGCTTCTGAGACTCCTAAACAAAGACACTGGTGAAGATCACAGGATCAAAACAATGAAGTCCACTTTGGCTGCAGCTGTCAAGAGTCGCTTCACTGATGCTGAGAAAAAAACCCTCTACTGCATCTCAACTGTACTGGATCCAAGGTAAATTAAATAATTAAAAAATGATTTAATATAATAATATAAGCCTTGATTTGCCTAAAAATATATTTTATTTTTACAAACGTTTATTTGCCAAGTAATCTGATGGAGGAAAAATCATTATGACCAAGCTACAACATGTTACAAATTAAACATTTATTACTTAATTGCAATTAATTTAACATACTACAAAATGTGTTTATTTAGTTTAGTTTATTTATATAGTTGATGGTACAATGTTCTAATATTCAGTGAGGGCCCTGTAACACATTTTAGATAACTTGAGCCGATCATTAAAATTTTTACATCTACGATGAAGATGGAATAAAAAATAAATCAAATGGAAGTCTCTTTTAGGTGTATTAGGTTTATTTATTTATTTTTTGTACATGCTGTCATAGTATGGTTATATGACAGTAAAATGGTTTTAAACCAATAGTAATGTACTTTGTTTATTTATGTTTGAAGTGCCTAATGGAAATAAACAGTTCAAGTTAATTATAAGGATTTTTAAGGATATTWATTAGTACTTGTATCGGTACTTGGTATCGGCAAGTACTTTAATGTAAGTACTTGTACTCGTACTCGGTTTTCAAAAATCTGGTATCGGTGCATCCCTAGTTTCAATAAACAAAGATTACAAAGATTCTCTTTCTTAAAGAGTTCCCCTTTGARGTCACTTCCTGTTGCACTTTGGCTGAGCCAAGTTCAAAAGAAAATATGCAATTTATGTGACAAAATGGGTAAAATCACATGTTTTAGGTTTCTTATATAAAAAATGTGTTTTCTTTGACTTTTTGTATTTGATGGATAGGCATATCACGGGCACTTTAATGTTTTTCCTGCAGCGAACATAAAATGAAAATGAGCTCTTATTTTATTAATTTGCCTCATTTATTTAGGAGACGATAAACATTTGCCTCTTTGTTACTCCTGGAGTCCGCCTCCTTACAGAACCAAAACTGCCTTACACCACYTTTCTTACAAACTCAACATGACAGGGTCAACACAATCATCTGACAGGTACAATTCTTTAGAACATGCAGTCAGTAACCTAAATACATGCACACCAGTCTGTCTTAATTTGCTSCTAAACTCAAAGTGTGTTGTTGCTCAGATGCATACACAGTTTAAGTGGACCATCACTCTGAGCAAAACAGATCAACACAACTGACAAAGTGAACTGAAGTTAATTGGTGCAAAATGCAGGTAAATTATTCTTTTCCTTCTTAAGTTTCTCAAACATTTAGATTTAGTAGATGCTGAAGAAAATGCAATCAGTAACTTGGGTAAACAGGATGCCTTTCATAACAGAGGCTCAAGTCAATTTATGGCTGCGTGCAGATGTTTGGTGAAAACAATATGCAGAAAACATGTCTYGTTTGGAGACGGGGGTTGATTTTAGTGGAAGTTGCTGTGTTGAATTTCATGGTTTTTTCAGGCTTCGTGACACATTTAATTACTTCATTGTTATTCTTAGAGATCACAGTATCCTCAATGTGTAAAAACAAAAGAAAGAAACTGCACTTCAGGGATCAAATGCAACCTCTTTTGGTCWACTTAGCTATTTTCTGACTGCACTGATGTACTGAGGGTTTCTTTTCCAATCACAAGTCTTAATAATTTTAAAAAGTGAAAAACACTTTTGGCTTTAAGTTGATATGAAGTGAGGTTTACCAAAGTGATAGTGAGTACAGTATTGATGCAGTGCTGTTAAGACTGTGCAACACAAAGCTAAATGATGTGAGATGTGGTGCAGGGTTCTCCAAATTATGTGAGATGCATGTTGAACAAAGCCAAAACATTTTTTTTCTAGACAAAAACACTCAATAAAGACTCACCCAAAAAAAAGAAACATTTCCAAGATCTATTCTTATGAGATCAGCAACACAGTTTGATTTCACTGTACTACGTGGTGCTCAACACACATGAATGTAAGTGCAATGACTTCTTAAGTGAAAATCTATAATTTGAGACAGACAAGACGTCCAAAATGACTTCATTTAATAAGAACAGTATATCATCAGTTTGTCGAAAGTTAGAACTGCTGCCAAGTTTTGCAGCAGTGAAAGACGAGAAAATGATCCAGAAAAAAAAGGCTATCAAGGTTAAACAAACTGTTGCACCATCATAAGAAACACAACAATTTCACATGAGTTTAATTTTTTTTTTTTCTTTGCATGGCTTTTCTACTACGCCAAGGATGTGAATGAGGTACACATGTGAGATTATGTCAGGCACCACAGGTGCCTTTTGTACATAAAAAAAATTATTGAACTGAAACCAAATATGTGCGCCGAGCTGTAAACTTTCTCTTAGAATGGAAATACTTTGTTGTTCATGCTGAGAAGCTAAGTCAGTACAAAGTAGAAAAATGTATTGTGCTTATTAACATGGCCGTATTTTCATTTGCAGATGTACAATATATGTTTATATGTTTTAAACAATATTTTTTGTTTTATGTCCAGTCACTGTATGGAGTTACTGCAACACCTTTTTCATTCTATCAGAAACTATTCAGTTTGGTTTCTGTCTCTCCTTTTGCTTAAAGACCCCACCTCCTCTAACTGGTAGAAAAGACTGTAGCATGAAAGAAAGCAGATTCAACAGTGCTCCTGTCACATCCAGCTATGATTCTGACAGAGGCAGAAAAGAGTAAAGAGCCAAAAAGGTCTGATCTGAAGAAAGAAAGAGCAAAAAAGTCAGGAGCAGTGTTTTCTGTGTGAGAGAATAATTATGTTTGGTGGGGACATTTGTGAATCTGTATATCTTTAGTGCAGGGCTATTCAACTTGCGGCCCGCGGGCCACATCCGGCCCGCAAGTGACCAAAGTTCGGCCCACCAATTGGTTCATTCATCTCTTAAATCCAAACCCCCGGTTTTCTACTTTGATTACTCTGAGTTCTTTTAGTTAAACATAGACATGTTTGGTACCTACAGAAACATCAGAATCTTGGCTAGAAGCTGGTAAAATCCATTTCTATGAACATCCAAGACAGTTAAAATTACAAGCAGCTGAAGATGAAACTATGAAAGTGAAAATGAAATTGGTTTAAAAATTTGGCGTCAGAGATGTCAAAATAATATTTATAGTAAATAAGAGGCATAATGTGTTCTTATTATTTTTTTGCTTAATTATCACTACTTTTATAGGGTTCTGTACATTGTATTCATGATTAAATGCAGCAAAATAAATTTTTTCAAAGGTAATAGATCTTTGGGATACTTGGTTTAATTTTATAAAGACTTTTAGTTATTTGAAGACTATTTTGTTTAAATTTATTTTTTGAGAAAAGGGCAGATATAAGTATTTTTCTTCTGCTACCTTTCATTTATGATTTGTCTTTTTATTGTATATAGAATTTGTTTGGTTTTTTTTTGTTTGTTTTTTTTTTGTAAAAATGAATGAATAAACTAAACTAAACTAAACCAAACTAACTGCTGGATGTTCGGACCCTCAGTTGTTGACCTGCACTAACTGTGGCCCTCGGAGCAGTTTAGTTGAATAGCACTGCTTTAGTGTGTCCTGTGCACACAAGTAATCACATGACAAGTTTACTTTTTGTCTTTAAATCTGAATAATTTATGACCTACACATTTGTTTAAACATAATTATTACACTTTCATACAATTGATTAAATAATGGTCTCACCAGCAGGGACTTTGTAACTTGCTGCTCAACATTTTGTGGCGTTGACCCAGCAGCAGTAACAGACTGCAGCAGACTGAGCACTGCCTCCTCCAGGCAGGGCAGCCGGTGATACCACAGAGAGATTAGGGCCTGTTCTTCTAATGGTAGGCCATGACTGGAAAAAATGTATATATATATATAAATGATATCAATAAACCAACATATTAAATACTGAAAATTGAGTGTTTCTTAAATACATAGATGAAATAAAGGCTCATACACATTATTAATAAATTGCATTAAAAGTCTTGTTATATTATTGTATTTACTTTATTAATCAAAAATTGTTTTATATAGCACACATCTGGAATTTGAGCACAAGACTAATAGTGTGAAACTAAATGTTTATATATTATAAGAACATATTATGATCCAATACCTGGAATGAGCAGAGCTCAGAGCATCAAGGAAGTCTTCTGACAAGGAAATCGCTGGATGTTTTAGCAAAGTGCCAGCGAGAGGAGAAATTTCAGGACATGTGACGAGGGGCACCAAAACCTCTGATGTAGCCAAAATACTGTCACATTAAGACGAAGATGAAGATATTTAGTAACATGTATAATTTTACAATAAATCAATTCATAAAAGAAGAAACAAAGGTTTTAAGTTCACTCATGATTTCCAGATTTTATTTTATTTTTATCCGTTTAGAAAGTAGACTTAGAAATTCTACAAAGACAACGGCACACATGTAATAAAGCTTCACGCCATTCTGTAAACTAATACCGTTATAAAAATAATCTGCTATTGAAGCTGATGTCTTCTTAAACTGCATAAATTAATGGAGCAACCAGCTGCTATTACAATCGTAACATTTTTTATTTCAACATAAGAAATAGGAGATAATGCTGCCCTGCTCTCTGATAATAATCAGTACTTGAACATCATATGTTTAGATAATCGGTTTATTTTTTTCAATTTCTTCAAGAACTTTCAGAAACTTTTATCCAAAGTAAGTTTTGCGATGTTAGTTTTCTTTTGTAAATTTCTTTACCTTTCATCTGTGCCATTTTGAGAACTCTTTTCAACGTTTTCCTGAACTTTCGTTACAATCTGAAATGCAGGAAATATCACAATCAGGAGTAATAAAGTCAATTTTATTGCAAGAAAGKAGTGGATCAAATGTGTTAAGAAAACAGTACCTTTTTTAATACTTGAGCTTGGTACTCTTTAGCTGGCACACCCATGTGCTTCATTAGTGCCTGAGCTGTAACATCATCTTCTTCTGTAACCAGCTGACACAACACTTTCTGTGGGAGAGCAGACAGTACGAACTGCAGCAGAAACTTTGGCACGTCATGCATGTAACAACGGACAAGACTTTGATGCAGTTTACACAATCCCCCAGGATTCATTACAGCAAAGCTAATTGGTTACAGGAAAATAGGATGACGCTGCTGGCGTCAAGTCATTTGAAACACATGAGTGTAAAGAAGGTATTCCAGTAAGTGGGAATATATGGACAGCATATGAGCAATTTCAGAAATGTTTCTTTCAAAGGGTCTTGGTGTTTTACAAGAATTTCTTTAAAAGGAGCCTCATGATAGATTATTGATCGAAATAATTCAATTCGAATTTAATTAAGAAAGAAGCAAAAGAAGACAATGCTTATGTTGTAAGTTCTGATACTACATAAATGGTGTCAAACCGCTAAAAAATAAAACAAAATGTTGCCCTAAAATTAATGGGAAACACTGGCTTGCTTAAATGAAACACATGTGGCATAATAATTAATACACTGCATGTTTCACAGGAATTTTCTTTGGCGGATTTTACTCAAAAGTTCAGTGAAACCCCAAAGATCTATAACATTATATTGGGGATTTTCTTTAAACGTTTAAACAATCATCTTCTTTCAAACACCAAGTTGACTCACTTGCTGGATCAGAGAGAAATAATACTCAAAGCCTTACATCTTCAGCGTTAACCAAAAACACACAGACTTCTATTAAAAAGCTAAGTAAGACAGAGCAAACTCTTCTGAAATGCAACAAACGTAAAGAAGCCTGAGTAGCTGAAAAGGAGAGAAGGATACTGTGAGAAGCTAAACGTGTGCTGGAGAAAACTAAAGCAGAAGGAAAGAAGTGCTGCAGAGCTGTTGGTGGAGCTCTGTGGTTTCTCTGGGCAGGCTCTACAGCACGCTACGATGCTTACCCTCCACAAAGTCTCGCAAAACCACCACAATCACTACCATCTGAGAGCCCACAAAGCCTGCTCATTGAGAGCATGCAAAATTGATCACACTCAACCCACAATTGGTAAAGAGGAGCAGTGGGGAAGGGGGACGAGAGGGAAGGCAGGATGGTTTGGAGGAAATCTAAGAGGGACTGAAACACCCTCAGATGGATGCATTTGAAGCAAGGAAAAAAACGGGTGTGGTCACCAGAGGAATGGGATGGAGGGCAGATGGATAGATGGGCGGCAAATACTTTTAGTCAAAAACCATCTTTCTCTTCGAGGAAAAAAAAGAACTGGATTGGCTTTGTGGACGGGTTACTGCCACAGAAATGACTCCTCTATAAATCTAAAATTAAAGCAGAAGATGTAGAAAACGCAAAAGGCAATGACTTGGGTTTGTTTTTGATGGGTGTCTGTTAACAATTACAACGCCATGATTGAAAAACCGATGAAAGACTTAAGTAAAGCCTCAGATGGTCAAAACAGCAGAGACAAAAACAAAAAAAAGATGATGAAATGAGGCATAAGGGCACAGAAAAGAAAGCCTGATCTCAGAAAATAATAAGTTTAAAGAAACTGAACCTCAAGCTTGTTGGACCGAGTCTATATGTTCAAAACAGGGGTTTGGAAAGCACCCAGACACTGTGAAGGGGACAAGTCAAGATATACAGTAAGCTTCACATAACAGGGCTGCTGGAGTCTAATAAACAGTCAGCAGAACTATCATTTGTATCCCTCTGTTTATGTGCAGATCTACGGTTTTACAGCTCTGGAGATCCTAAAAGAAATGTCTGGTGCTTAACAAGTCTTTTTAATAAAGCACATACAAACCTCAGATGAAAAACAGCACATATTGGGCGGTGTCAGAGTTTATTTAACAAAAAAAGAAACCAAAACACCATAAGCATGTTTGAAACAGTACCAAATACTCTCTTCTATAACAAAGTAAAACATTAAGCAGTGCGAATTTACTAATTAACTAATAAGCTGATTATTAGCAAACGTGTGCACGCCTAAAAAAAGCTCAAGTTTCAGCTATTTTTTAAAATAGAAAACCAGGAATGCACTGCAAAAACTGTCCAGCAAACCATGCCTTTCAACACAGATGCTCCTGTAAGTTGTCCAATATGTATATTCATGTATGTGTATATATACACACTGTTTGTTTGTTGGCTTTATGTCTATTTTGAAATAAATATTTTGAAATAAATGAAACTTCTTACAATCTTACATCTAGCCAAAAAGTATTTTTGATCATGTTTTGAATCTGATACACTAAGCAAGAGCAGAATATGTTAGATTATTAATCTTGTTAGCCTGGAAATCTTGCCTGGCAGATTACTTGATTTAATTTGAGAAGATACTATAATCAAGTATTGTTTTGCTTAATTTTAGACGGCCAATCTTTACAGCGCGAGTAGATTTACAAAAATTATCCTGTTCTAAAGGTAATTTCAGAAACATCTACCCATCCTTTAGTTTTACCCATTTTTTAACCTCCAAATCATGAGGAGCTGGTGTCTATTTGTAGCAGTGTGTGAGAGAGGAGAGGAACACCCTGGACAGGTTGCAAGTTCATCACAGGGTCACACTGATTCACTCTCACTCACACCTAGAGTCAATTTAACCAACACAAACAGCATGTATTAAAATATAAAGCAGCAACAGTGACTCCAGGGCTTACCTGTGGTTCGCCTTGTTTTATTCACTAAAGATAAATATCAAAATTTAAGCTACCCTTGTTTATTTTTATTTATTTATTTTGTCTGTCATCTTCTTAAATATGATGCCAAATTACTGCAGCACTGCGAGGTCTCTGATCTAGCACACGATGTGGGGAAAACAGACCAATTAATGACTCGGATATAGCCCAAAGCGTTTGTGGCTGCACCCATCAAACCCAGCGTGAAAGCTCAGATGTGGAAAAGAGCCAGACAGGAGGCTGAAGCAAAAACAGACAAAAGGAAAGATAAATACTGTTTCGAGTCAAATATGTGTGTCTGCTTACAGCACTCACACTAACTAAAATAACAGATACAAGCACAATGTGGACCACCATGAAGAGTCACAAAAACACAGCATGAAGTTGCCACAAAACATCAGATTCTGAGCATTGAAGGCAGCAGGAATACAACATTTGGTGACAAGATCAGACCAGGATCAAATGAAACAGGCGTCACTCTGCATTCCAAAGCAGACACAAAGACACAGAGACAGACCAACATAAAACAGCTCCTCTGCCCTGCTCCCCTAAACAGGCTCCAGTTGTCGTGACCAGTTTTTTCTGTGATTCCTGCAGATATAGTTCTAGTCTCTATTTGGCTTTTTAAATTATTCAAAATTTTCCTCGCACACACTTTTGCCAAGTAGATTACGTCCAAAGCATATATATATCC